TTTATTATTTTTAGTGTGTGAGTATCCATGTGTGCCATAGAGTGCATGCACAGATCAAGGGCATTTTTGGGAGTCAGTTCTCTCCCTCTACCTGCCATGTGGGTTCTGGAGAGTAAACTCAGCTTCTCAGGCTTGGCGGCAAGTGCCTTTGCAAACTGAGCATCTTAATGGTCCACATTTTTTTATATTTCTTTATTAAATTCCCACAACATCTAGCTTGTAATGGACATTCACTGATATTTTTTAGCAATAAATAAACCCTACTGCCTTTTTTGTGGGTTTCAGCATTTTTCAGTTTTAAAACTAGAAAACCTAGGAGATTGCCTTTGGTTAACTCTGGGGAGAAGAATACTCTTGAGATAAAGGTAAAAAGTTTTCACAACTTTTTCCTAGTACAATTTTTATGTACACAAATCAGCTGGCATTAACATTGACCAGCATTGTATCAGTCTTGTTTTACCTGTCCAGTCCCCATTCCCAAACACACACATACACACACCCTTCCGAAGTATTTTAATGCATATGAATTGCAAGTTTGTTACACATGTAAGCAAGTTGTAGATTGTTGGAAAGAATGGATTTTCCATTCTGTGTGTAATTTATCTGGTGTATTATGATGTGACACTAATCTAATGCACAGCGATGAGATAGGCAGAGCACTAAAACACTTACCAGGGAAGCCTGGATTCTCCATTCTGTAGGGATGGTAAAGCATTAATTCTTCTGCCCTAGTGTCTCTTGCATTAAAAAATGAAACTTTCAGATCTATGTGTAGTTCTCATACTCATTTCACGCAGTCAGACTGGTGGTAGCAGCGAGAAGGACGTGGAATCGCATTGATCGTAATCTTAAAATGACCTGGGCACGGGGAAAGGCTGCTCTTTAACACGGTAAATATACTAGCCACGGGGTTAAGTACTATTAACTCTTCTTTTTAAATTTTATTTAGTTTATTTTTAATGTGTATGAGTGTATTGCCTGCATGTGTGTAAGTGCACCTGTGTCAGGCAATGCCAGTGGCACTCAGAAAAAGGCATTGGCTCACCTGAAACTGGAGTTACAGATACTTGTTAGCTACTAGGTAGGTGCTGGGAATTGAACCTAGGTCCTCTGCAAGAGCAGTCAGTGCTCTTAACTGCTGTGCCATCTCTCCAGTCCCAACTCTTTTTATTTATTTATTTTTGAGACAGGGTCTCCTGTAGCCCCAGCTGGCCTGGAACTCACTATGTAGCCCTATGTAGACCAGGCTGACTTTAAACTCACAGAGATCTGCCTACTTCTCTG